ATTATCGATTGTGAATGGTTTGAATAACTTTGTCATTCGAGAAGAATGACCTTGTTATTCAAGAAGTCTAAACATGCAAAGTGAAACACAAGAATAATCGAATCCAATATGGTCTCAGAACTTATGAATATAAATAGAACACCTTTTATTTATCACCATATTGATTATACATTATTTATTGCATACTGTTTCAGATTATCAACTTTATATTTGAATCAAAACAACAGTCATGTCATGCTCCAAGCATGCACACTATGTTTTGTCCAAACAATATTTATGCCATACTCCAAGTATGCACACTATGTTTGTCCAAACTTTAGTTATGCCATACACCAAGTATGCACAGTAAGTTTTTCTATGATCTTTACTTTGTGAAATAGATCGATTGAACATAATTCCAGTGATTCTCATTTCACAATCCCAAAACGTTACCCTTAATGCAAGAATTCCAAATTCCTACCATTTACCGAAATCTGTTAGATTATAAACTTATATGCATTGATCCTCTTGTAATGATTATGCACAAAGTCACAAAGACTTGTCAACAGTCATTATAGAGTATTCCAATGGAGATCAACTCTATAGACACAAAGTCTCATATTCAAAGTACATTGCTTTGAACATCCTTCTTACATTAAATTCCCTAACCTTACATAGATTTAATGAACAACTTCCACCTTTGGGAATATTTTCATATTCTCATATTGACTATCACTTCTGAACAAGAGTTGCCTCTCTTCAAAATATGTCAATACGGTCCTCTCCAAAAATTAACACTATACTTCCAACTGTCCCTGAGCAACCAATCTTTGGTAAACCTTAGACTATCCTCGACAATTGCTTAATCATTTTAGTCATATCCAATTCTAGACTTTTCCCCTATGAATGCCCTGAGCATTTGGAAAAATTTAGAAGCGATGAAAATTATAGCACATGCAATCGATCCTATATCCGAAGCATATGGGACACGAATCATGATGTATCATATAAAGACATGATACTAGACCATTCTTTTGCTACAATATTTCTATTTCTGTTTGTCAAGTTCTCATAATTCAGATTTTGAAAAGGGATGTTTTAGAACGCAAATAATGGACCTATATATAGAATTTCCTTATGTTGAACCATTCCAACACAAAATTCATATATATATATATATATATATATATATATATATATATATATATATATATATATATATATATATATATATATCTTTACTATATTATTAAACATATTGCCTATTTCTTGAAATTTAAGAGGTATAACTATTACAACATGGTGTACAATCTTTTTAAGCTTACAATGTAACTCATCGTATCTTTACTCTATCTTAACCCTAACATCCTCGACAAAACATCAGACGCCGTCAAACCCACATCTATTCTATCTCTCTTCTTACTTGCTTCAGTTTCCGGTGGACCTTCAGTACCACCACCCTCTCCACTCTCCTTCCGCCGCCGCTGCAAGCTGTAGAAGGTAACCGGAGATCCCTTCATCCATTAAGTGTTATGTGCTCAATCAAATGCTCATCCTTCTACACTGGATGATCGACACCCTACAACACTACTTTTCTCTACCTTTGTTTCTCCTCTCAAAACCATAATCGCACATGTGTCTGCTCAAGAAAACAATAATGAACATCCAGCTTTTAAAACCCTAATATAGCCACCGTTATCGTCACCCCCTCTATCGCTCATATTCTACCTTCTTTCAAGACGAGAAACCCTAATCCTATCATGTTATCACCATCAACACCAACGAATATGTTTCTACCTTCTGTCTCAGGCTGCACACCAGTTGAATCTTAGTCATCTGAGAAGTTAACGAGATTTAAGAGATGTTTTTTGTTCTGAGGATACTTTTAAATTATAGGTACGATCTTGTTTCCTGATTATTGAACTATTTTCAGTGCATTGTTGGCTATACTCAAATATTTTCTTATTAATTGGAATTTTATTTCATTTTGCACGCCATGTGTTCGATGAAATGTTCGATTCCAAAGCTACAGGAAGCGATGCTTAAACTTGATGTAACAAAAAGGGTAGTTGAGGTATGACTTTAATTCCCTCTTCCTTGATCATCCAAAACAATATCTAAGGTTAACACTTTTCCCCAATGCTAATACATTTTTTGCTAATTTCTATATTATATTTTTCTATTTAAAAGCTTGCTATATGTTTTTTATTCATTTTAATAGGGCTTGATTGTATGATAATGCCCTTTATGTTCAGATATGCAGATTTTAGGTCTTGAAGTGTCTTGAAAACACTGTAGTAGGAGATGAAATGTTTAGGGGTATTTCAGGGGGGACAAAAAAAAAGCGAGTCACAACAGGCGAAATGAGACCTATGACCTATTTGATGATGTCATACTTTTAGCAGATGGACAAGTTGTGTATCAAGGTCATACTTTTTCTTTGATCTTAAAAGAAGTAATGTTTAGCTCTTAGGTTGCGTTTGTTACATGTAATTTCATTTGGAGTTATTGAACTTTTGGCTAATGCTGGTTTCATGCTACAGGTAACATCAAAGAAAGATCAACAGCAATACTGGATAACAAAAAATGAAGCTTACAGTTTTGAATATTCTTGCTCAGATTTTAGATTCTAGCAAACTAATGAAATTAAAGGTTAGCATTTTTTTATTTAATAAAAAAAAAATCTAAAATGTACTTTTTTCACTCATAAATAAAAGTATGTTGCTTTATATGATTTTTAAACAGGAAGCAGTAATCAAGAAAAAATATAGTTTGTTGTGTTGTTTTAATGTTTGTTTATTTGATTCTTTTCAGGGAGAAATAAGCTTGCTTCTTTGACATATATTTTTTAAACTTAAAATCCTGATGGGTATTATGTTTTTTTAGTTACAAGGGCATAAATGGTAAGGGAAGATGCTATTATGAGTAAAATTACAGGTTTGGTGTTGTTAGTTGTTGGTAAGTATTTTTGTTGTTTCAAATGATCAATTTACCCTCCATTTTGTTGTTGAAGTGACTATTTTACCTTTTGTAGTGTTGTATAGGAATTTGATGTTCGTAGTAAGAATGAGCTTCTTGCAAAAGAACGTGCTGAGTTTATCAAATTATTGCAGGTATTTTAAAATTTACAGCTAACTATTTTAATGAATTTTTTGTTGGTTTATAATTTCATAACCAATTTTACATCTTTTTGTTTGTATTTTTCTCTTAACAGCAAGCCCAGAGTGAGGCTGCATCTGCATTTGGAAATGATGGTGCTCATTTAGAAAAATAAATCCAAAATCCAAGGCACATTGAGTTCCTGTTAAGTGTTTTTGTGTTTTTTGTAATTTTGCTTTAATGTAATCATAATAAACCCTTCCATGTTGCAGCTTTGGCTTCTGGTCTTGCAATTGCTTCTCCAACAGAACAAAGAACTGTAAGCCCTTTCTTTTTTGTTTTATTTAAATGTTGTAAGCCCTTTCTTTTTTTGTTTTATTTTTTTCACTTATTATGTTTCTGTATGACACGTATCGACTTTTTAATTCTGTAATGTGTAAAAGATTAAGTGACTTAATTATATGTTTTGACTACCGATCTATTAAACTGTTCTTTAGATTACAATATATTTCCAAAAATAAAATCGACAAATATTATATTCGTTTTTAAATTTTTGAGTATATTTGTTAAGTTTCATATGATTTTAAAATATTTTTGGTAGAGATTTTGATAATTAGTATATTTGTTAATTTTGTAAGATTTTAAATATTTTTGGTATGGATTTTAATATTCATGGTAAGATTTTAATTTGCTTAATTTTGGAATGATTATCAATATCCAAAAATACAACATTATATTCTATAATAGATTATTCAACCTATAAATTTAAGTTATGTTCTTCATTTTTAATTCACAGCAAAATTTCACAGTTGAGGTTTTGGGACGATTTGATCATTGAGTTGGAATCGAGAAGACTGCTACACTGCTTCATTGCGTTTCTTGACACGGATTCAGGTTCTCTTTACTTCTTTTATATTTTGTAACTTCAAATGTGTATAATATTTTATTTCTTACTTATATTTGAAGTGATAAACTTCTTTTGTTTCAACTGTTGATATTATTCTGTCTTCTATCTAAATTGATCACTCTTCTTATTCTTTATCTCAAATAATACATGTATATAATTTGTATATATGTGTGTATGTATTTGTTTGTATTCTATCTAAATTGATCAATCTTCTTATTCTTTATCTCAAATAATACATGTATATAATTGAATTCTAGGTGTGTATTTATTTGTTACTGACATTCTGCATATGTGTGGTTTGTATATGTATAAGTTAGGACATTTGTTTTGAATATTTTTAATCAGTAAATATCTTTTAATTATCAAATTGATTGTGGTATTCTGGCATGTTCTTTTGAAACTTGCCAAAGAAAAAACACTACAGTTTGATGTTTGATAGACTAAATCTATCCACATTAAAGCGCTATTTTTCATGTTATTATTCTTAATATTTTAATGTTTGATAGACTAAATTTTCGAAAATACAACTATCTGTTTTTCTATTTAAATATAACATAACTAACGTTAAGATATATAATCACAAAAAAAATAAGCCCACACCTTTAAGTTTATAAGCCCAAATCTTAGTTTAAAAAGAATGTAATTAGTTTTTGAGCATCACAACAAATTCAACAGTTTTTTGAACATCACAAATTAATAAGTATTTGCTTAAAACCCGAAGCTTTTATTCATAAAAATTATTGGTGTGACCTATAAAATTTATATTGTTTAATGTTTCAACAAATTTAACACTAACTTCAAGCTTTTTTAAGTACTAAATTATTTACTTTAATTTTAATACAATATGATATCTACATTTTACCATGTAATAAAAACTCTTATTGCTTGGATATTTCAAAAGCACGATACATATGTTATTATATTTTGGTAATCTCAAATCAATATAGTTTTTAATATAAATAATTAAATAAATCAATTCTACATCAATCACATCCGACTTTCGTTTTGTAGAATCATGAATGGTCATATTTACGTTGATGCATTTTCGTTGCTACTAAACTACCATTTGTGGTATGTTTTGACATCCGTTCGTGTTGATTTCATTTGGAGGGATTCAAGAGCAAACAAACTTTTCATGGTTCTCATTGATCAAAATGTATGTTTACAAAACTATTTATATCTTATATTCATTTTCATAATTTATCACAAGTATTTTTTTATAAAAATATTACATTTTCTATTAGAGAGAGAAATTGTTAGCAGTTGTTCCACAACAAATGATGCGCTTTATTTATGAAGGGAATCTATTGGGTGGTGTGTTTTCTTTAAATCATTTCCAAATCGAACCAACCTATGCTGAGTATCCGAGATATCAAGAATACAGTTTATTACGTGGTGATTTGATGATTAAGATCAGCAACAACACGCGGTTTAATCGTTTGGCCGATGCTATCATATCATGGTTTCCGGTTTTCCTATTGGTTCCCTCAATAAAAAGTTTAGTAGAAGATCGGACAGAGAGAAAAATGATGATCGGTAAATTTAATAAATTGTATATATTTTCAGCATTCTAAAGTTTTTAAAATAATAACAAGTTGTCCTTTTAATTATCGTTATTTTTAGATATTGTTGGAAAAATCATCAGAGGCAAGCGAAACTATTCCCGTTACTCTGGTTTACTGACGTTAACTTCTTTCACTTTATATCTCCAAGATGGGCCGTAAGTGTTTATTATTATTATTATTATTATTATTATTATTATTATTATTATTATTATTATTATTATTATTATTATTATCTTTATTATTATTATTATTATGATTACACTAAAGCAAAATTAGGTGACTTTGGAAATATTTGATTATAAATAGAGGGAGTATAATAAAGATGAAACTACATATAACCGACCGAACACGCCATCAAATTGTGAGGACTGTCTATGCGATAGAGAGAAAGTATATAATATTTGTTTCTCGGGTGAAATTGGTTCATTTGGATTCAAGTAAGTTTTTTCTAGAAAATTATAATAATTGTAGTGATATTAAAATACCTAAATCAATACATTTTAATAGTTTTTATCTTATTTTCAGTGAACATTTTGATATCAACCAAACTAAGCAACGTAGAGTTCCAACCGCGGATGCCGGAAGCATTTAACATCATAAATATGCCTAGAAGAATTTTTAATTCCGTGTGAGACATTTGGTGGTGTTTTTTTTTGAAGTTTTGACAACTTTTACGAGTGCGTTGCTTTTATTGTTGATCTACATTAATGTTAGACATATTATGGTGAATTTTTTCATGTATGGTTTATTTTTCTTGTGTTGACTTATGAATTCATAAATAATAATTTTTGGATATCTATGGAAATTTTCTTTTAATTATGTATAACTTTCTTCTATTGTGTTTTTGGATTACAAGTTTTTAGTATATTTGTTTATTTATTAAGGGTTGTGTTGCTTTTTGAAACACACACATACATGACTACTAAATCACATGGTCTACATTACAAAATGTTACATTCTTGATGATATAATATGTGCTTATTCTTAACATTTCCATTATAGTGTTCAATGGGGACTGTAGATAAGGGAAACGAAAACTGTGATGATTCCCAAAACCCGATAGATATAGAAAAAGGTATGTCGTTTATATGAGTATATATTTGCATTTATAATATATAACTATTTATCCAAATAATATGTTTGTAGAAAATCGAAAAAGATACAATAGAAACTATTATGCACGAAAAAAGGAGAAAAACAAAAAGAGAAGAATAGCTAACGGTGAAGGATGTAGTCAACCTACAACACTCACAAGTTGCACTATAATGGAGACAAACGAAACAAATATCAACGAAGATTCCTCTGTGAGTGTTATAAGTGCTGCTCAGAGGACGAGTACTTATAATAAAGAATATTATCAACGAAGAAAGGAACGAACTATGATGACAAAAAGAAGAGTATACGCCTTTCAGGACGATCCGTATGATTTTGTTTATGAAAATATCCGTATGGAACATCGTATATTAAAGGCTCAAAACCCTTGTGTTTATTGTGGAGCAAAGCGACTACAATATGAATTCCCTACCTTTTGTTGCATGAGTGGGAAGACAAAACTGGCACACTCCCCTATTCCCACAGAGTTGCACCAACTCTTCACAAGGCAAGAGCAGCTAGAAGAAAGCTTCAGGTACAATATAAGGGCGTATAACTCAAACTTTTCTTTCGCATCACTAGGTGTAAATGTGGATAAAGAATTGGCCAATATGAATTCTGGAGTTTACACTTTTTGTGCGCACGGAACACTCTATCATAATATCGATCAGCTAATTTCAAGGGATGGTAAATCGAGGTATTTACAGTTGTATTTTTATGACGGTGAAGCTGAAATATCACAAAGATCCTCCTGGAAGAATGTTGATAGAAGAATCATCCAAAAACTAACACGTATTCTAGCTTCGAATCCGTACGTTAGAACATTTAAACAACTTTCTGATCTAGGACCGCTTGATAATTATAGAGTGACTTTGAATGCATCGGTGGAGCTTGACCAAAGGGTGTACAATAAGCCTACCACATCTGAGGTGTGAATAGTAACATTTAACTTTATTCATTTTAAAATTAAATGTCTCATATTTATTGTTATACATATCATATTAATCACCATATTGAACTACACCTTTGCATAGGTTGCTGGTATTTGGGTTGAAGGAAATGACAACATCACTGCATATAAAAGAAGTATTATTGTCTACGGGAGGTCTAACTATAGTACTGAAATTCAACCTCACTTTGGTTGTTATGATCCTTTGTCGTATCCTTTATTCTTTCCTAATGGTGAGTCTGGATGGCATCCTAAAATACCAAGATATGGGGTGGCCATGGATGAAATTATTAGTGACAATGAAGACAATGATGAAGGTTCAGAAGGTACGCCTTTAACATTCTTTTACATATTTAAAACATGTAACACGTATTGCCTTAAATATTTGGATATTAAATTTATATTTTTCACATAAATTATGATATCACAGGATCTACTTCAAAAAAAGGCAGAAACACTGTAAGTATGCGGGAGTACTATTGTTACAAGTTCCAGATACGGTCGAATGATAATGTGATTTTGATGGGAGGGAGATTGTTCCAGCAGTTTGCAGTAGATACCTATATAAAGATTGAGACTACACGTTTGGTTTTTGTTGAAAAGAACCAAACCAAAATTAGAGCTGATTTATACCAGGGCATTGTTGATTGTTTTAATGCCGGTGAGGCTCAACCAAGTAGGGTTGGACAGAGAGTTGTGTTACCTGCAAGTTTCATTGGAGGTCCACGTGACATGCGCCGAAGATTTCTGGATGCCATGGCTTTAGTTCAAGATGATGGGAGGCCTGATATATTTCTTACAATGACTTGCAACCCAAAATGGAAAGAAATCGATGATGAGTTATTGCCTGGACAGTCAGCTCAAGATCGACCGGACCTTGTTGCAAGAGTTTTTCATGCTAAGTTAGAGGATCTCAAGGTACAATTATTGCAGAGACATATAATCGGTGTGGTGGGGTCATATGTGTATGTGATAGAGTTTCAAAAGCGTGGATTGCCACATGCACATTTCCTCTTAATAATGACCCCTGGATATAAGATGAATAATCCAGACGATTATGACAAACTTGTGTGTGCGGAAATTCCCGACCCAATAAGGTTTCCTGAAATGCATGATCTTGTCAAAAGTCACATGATGCACGGTCCCTATGGTAGCTTACGAGAAAAAAGTCCGTGTATGCAGGGTGTGCCAAAAATATGTCGTTTCAGATATCCTAGGCAATTCAATGAAAAGACATCACAAGGAGAGGACTCATATCCATTATATAGAAGGAGAAATAATGGAATTGAGGTTACTGTAAGAAATACATCATTGGATAACAGATGGGTGGCTCCATACAACCCGAAGTTGTTAATGATGTTTAATTGTCATATCAACGTTGAGGTTTGTTCGAGTATAAAGTCTGTGAAGTACCTCTTCAAATATGTTTATAAGGGCCATGACAAACAAGTTATCCATATTGATAAAGACCAAGAAAATGTTGTTATTAATGAGATAAAAAAGTTTCAAGACGCACGTTATGTGTCCCCTCCCGAGGCATTATGGCGAGTTTTTAGCTTTCCTCTATCAAAAATCCACCCTTGTGTGATGGCGTTGCAAATACATCTCCCGAATCAACAGTTGGTTAGGTTCAAAGACGTTGACAGAATGGAAGACATTGTTGATAGAGAGAAAGAAAAAGATTCAATGTTGACGGCATTTTTCAAGAAGAATAAAGAAGATTCCAAAGCGAGAGAATATTTGTATAAGGATTTTCCCAAACATTTTACATGGAATCGGAGCAACCATTGTTGGAGGATCGGGAACATAAATCAATGGTTGGTCGACTTGTTTATGCTAATCCAGCTGAAGGAGAGAGATACTACCTACGCCTGCTTTTATGTCATATCACCGGGCCTACCTGCTTTGAAGATTTATACACAGCAAATGGTGTATTACACCCTACATTTCGAAAAGCAGCTCTTGAAAGAGGTTTAATAGAGACGGATGATAATTTATCACAGTGTCTTGAAGAGGCTTCCTTATTTCAATTTCCCAGCGCACTTAGAAGGTTATTTGCGACGATGCTGATTTTTTGTGAACCAGGAAATGTTCGCAAGTTATGGGACGACCACTATGATTCTCTTTCTGAAGATTACAGGAAACAATATGGATGCGCCGAGCGAGTGCAAAATATGGTCCTCATCGACATTAGAGTCTTCCTAGAATCTATGAGTAAAAAGCTTAGTGATTACGACCTTCCAAAGGTCAGTGCACACATCGATTTACAATCAAGAGGCTATCGTGAGGTGCAAGAAGAATACTCTATAAATGTGGAATATGAAGACTTACATGCGCGAGACTCTCTCAATCCAGACCAGAAGTTTGCATATGATGAGATAATGAGGCATGTGGATCAAAATATTCCGGGTGTCTTCTTCATAGATGGTCCCGGTGGAACTGGAAAGACATTTTTGTACAAAGCTTTGTTGGCTAATATTCGTGCTCGTGGTCTTATTGCACTTGCAACTGCCACGTCAGGTGTTGCGGCTAACAACATGCCAGGAGGGAGAACAGCTCATTCACGATTTGGAATTCCGCTCAATCTTGATAATAACTCGATGTGCAAGATCACTAAACAAAGTGGGAAGGCTCAGGTACTTCGCGAGGCAAAGGTAATCATATGGGATGAAGCAGCAATGGCTAAGAGGCAGGCAGTAGAAGCAGTTGATCGCACAATGCAAGACATCACAGATGAGAAGCTCCCTTTCGGTGGAAAGATAATGGTTATGGGAGGTGACTTTAGACAAGTGTTACCGGTCGTGAGACGTGGCACTCGAGCACAAATTGTCGACTCTAGCTTACGAATGTCACCTCTATGAGCTTCAGTTAAAAGGCTTCGATTAAGTATCAACATGAGAGCGGTAAATGACCCATGGTTTTCTGATTTTTTATTACGAGTCGGTGATGGAAAGGAGGAAACATTGGACGAGTCCTATATTCGTATACCTGATAACATGTCCATTCGGTACACTGATAAAACTAAATCAGTGGACGCTCTGATTGATGCAATATTTCCTTCTTTGGAATCCAACGGCGCCGACTCAAAATTTATCATTTCGAGGGCGATACTGTCAACTAAAAATGAAAGTGTTGATGAGATTAATAATAAGTTGATCGAACGATTTTCTGGCGAGCAAAAAGTTTACTATAGTTTTGACGAAGCGGAAGATGACAAAAATAACTTATATCCGATGGAGTATTTGAACTCGCTAAATGTTAGTGGTGTACCCCCTCATTATCTTCGGTTAAAAACTGGGTGCCCTATAATACTTTTGCGAAATATCGATCCTTCAAATGGGTTATGTAATGGCACCAGATTGATATGTCGAGCTTTCCAACAAAATGTCATTGATGCAGAGATAGCGGTTGGCCAACATGCTGGAAAAAGAGTGTTTTTACCAAGAATTCCTCTATGTCAGTCTGACGATGAGATGTTCCCGTTCAAACTTAAAAGAAAGCAGTTTCCAATTCAGCTTAGTTTCTCTATGACAATCAATAAAGCTCAAGGACAAACAATTCCAAATGTAGGTGTTTATCTACCAGAATCGGTATTCTCACATGGCCAGCTTTATGTGGCGTTGTCCAAAGGAATATCACGTGTCAATACCAAGGTATTAGTAAAGCCGGAAAAAACGTTTCATAATGATGGAATCTACACATCAAACGTTGTGTACAAAGAAGTGTTATGTGATTAACAAGGTACAATCAACAACTTATTATTATACAATTTCTTCAAATATGTATCTTAGATGCTTATTTGATGTTTAATGCAGGGCTAGCAGATGAAGCAACATGATTGCAGATTGGTGTAGGTTATATATTGGACATGTTATAAATGTACAAAACTATATGGTTGCAGATTGTTGTTATTTATATATTGTTAAAATCAAGTATGAACTATCAGATGAATTATTTGAGATGTAGACTCAACTTTTATCGTATTGTATGACTATACACCTAGCAAGAAACTATATGTTGAAATGAACTATTCGACACATAATAGTCTACCAAATGGCCGCAATGAATAACTCACGTCTAAAGGAAACTATTAAAACTATCTTCCGAAAGAAACTTTTTGCCGCCCGGCGCTTAGCGCGGGTAAACGGCTATATATATATATATATATATATATATATATATATATATATATATATATATCATTGACTAAAGATGATTAAAACCTCAATCTAAGCTTTTAGAATTGAAATGAAGTATACTTAACTCTCCCTTAATTATAGCAAAACAACTTTTTAATCTCTGCAACTTCACGAATTGAAACTTTTGTTTTCTATAATTAACATTGCTAACTTTCAGTACTAAACAAAATAATCATGCTCCCACTAACATGATGATTATTAGCATAACACTTATGCTACCACTAGCTTTGACATGTACTCAGAAATTAGCTAGACTTCTATAAATCAATACTCTATTGACTTTCTTACCAAAGTTCAGATTTCTGATATGAGATGCTTTGATAAAACATTAACAAAATCATACACCTTTCCTTAGATAGCTCACATGTGTGCCTAAACAATTTTAGAACTATGAAAAGGGATACCGTAATCATAGTCTTAATTGTTTAGACATTTGCCATTTCTCACAAGTCCATGTTAGTGTGTCGGTTAACCACAGACGCTCCACTAATGACTTTGAGAATGAAAATGTAACGTCCCAAAATACGACCCAAAAATTTTTGTTTAATAATACTGAAAACCATAACATCAAATGTCATAAAATCAAGCCCATAAATAAGTATCGTGATAAAAACTGTATCAAATCATATCTAAGTAAAACTAATCAAACCCCCACGATAAACACTGAAGTTGTGGTGTGTGTGATGCCATCATCCCGAGCTGTTCCCTTTACCTGCGGAAGTACCTGAAACCAAAACATAAACTGTAAGCACAAAGCTTGGTGAGCTCCCCCCAAATTACCATATAC